CACACACGGCCTAATTCTTTGCCCTGCTTTAGAGCATGGGCTGTTTGGATGTTTCCGGTTGGCCATGAGTTCTCTTTGGGGGGAATGTATGTTTTGTGGGCGGCGTGGAAGGCTTTCCCAGTTTTTTCGGACCCTTAGCAGGGGGGGTCGGTGCGTTCTTGCTGGAGGAGTCTTCTGTCTTAGGTAAGTTGTCTCTTATCTTCTTCCTCCTCTTTGGCAGTGATGCGAGTGTGTAGTTTGAGATGAATGTCGGGAATGCCAATGCTGTTATATTTGTTTGTTTTTATAAATGAGTTTTTGGTTTTGTGGGACGATGCGGAACGCTCTCCAAGTTTTTTCGGACCTTTGACGGGGTCTGGTCAGTGCCTTCTTGCTGCAATAGTCTTGTGTCTTAGGTAAGTTGCCTTCTGCCCTCCATCCCCTTATGGTTTGAAATATATATGTATACATATGTATATGTGCAAGTGTGCCGCGTTGGCGGCAGACGGGTGTGTGGGCACTTGGCGCTGAACCACACGAACGTGGCCAACCTTGCATTGTCTATTATACTGCCTATCTATACTTTTTCGTTGTGGATGGCTTGTGATGATCTGTGAAGGGAATGAGAGAGAGAATCTGGGGTCTTTTAAAACAACACACACACTGATAACAGAGGAAAACGAGGCCTTCACTGAGGGCATACTCACACTAGTACATTCCAGGACGCATTTCTTTTCTTCTTTTCTTTCTTTCTTAGTCCTGCATGCCCCTCAGGAGAAAGGAGGCAATTCCTTCGATACGTACTACTTGCTATTCACCATTTTACTGTTTAGTAGTGTTTTCTATTTTTAGTTATTATTTATATCATATGGTGGCAACTCTCTCTGCTTGAGACCACAAGCATTCAATAGGTCAGTAGTGCCCTGATTGACTGACTTTTTATATCTTCCTTTCTCCTTACTGTATGTCATTTGAACATTCTCAGGTGCGCATATTGGACCGGAGCCAACCACAGATCGGTTCGTGGTAATCATGGTGCGTACTGTGATCAGAGCAGACAACTGTATGTACTGAAAGTGGGGTGCCAATTTAAAACCTCGTAACGATGCCAGGTTAAGTGCGATCTGTTCAAACTTCCAATCCATTTTTTATAGTAGTGTAAATTTGTGCACAATGGTGTGGCAAGCTACAACCTTACTCCCCTAAACACAAAACACGGTCATCAAAGCTGTATTTGGCGCATGTTTGAGGCCATTTACAGACAGAATGACTACCGTCTTCACCCGAATAGAACGCCCGGTATTATCGCCGTATCTGGGCTGAAAGTTGTGTATAATGACCGGGCGTTCTATTCGGATGAAGACAGTAGGCGTTCTGGTGGGGAGAAGAGGTTAGCCTACAAACATCTGCTACAATATGTAGTTGGCTGCATCGGTCTATTCGAGTGGTGGTTGTGAATTACCATATGTTTGCACCACCCCTGGACCTGTACTCGATCCGGATGTTATCCCGATGAGGTGTGTGCCCAAGAAAGATAGACTTCTTGGCTTGGCGTTTTTTTTTTTTTTTTCGGCTCAATTTCTCACAAATTTCAGTATGGCCCTGAGTTGGAAGCTGTTCGTGTTGGAATGCTACTTAACCCTTTCTTTGAGTTTTTCACAATTTTTATGAGAATTTGAAACTTTCCAAGTTCAGAAGCCGGGATTGCCTGTTGGGGCTTGCGATGCTAGCCATCTGGGTCCAGGTAGGCTCAGCACAGAGAGCATTGAAAGGTAGAAAGTTAATGGTCAACGGGGTTTAAACTTTGTTGAAGTTGTGATTTTATCTTGAAGTTAAAACACCTCTCCCCTTAATCTTTTGGAACCGGCAAATTTTCCCGAGCCCGATGCACCGACCAGAACAGTTCTGGGCGTACAGGTACCAGCATGAAGCAAAAGTATGCGACCTGAAGCAAATGTATGCGGACCTGAAGCAAAAGTATGCGACCCTTTCATCTCTTTCCGATTCCTTTTCTTTTTCTGAATGTGTTCCTGGGCTGTGCAGGACCTGCCTGGATATGGCCTGGACAAGCCGTCCAGATGGGCACCAAGGCAGTCAGAGCCAGACTGTCTCCCCCAGGCTGTTAACCTATGAAAATGTGTATATAATAATATAATAACAGGGTCCCCGGTTGGACTGCGGGCCTGCCGGTCGGACCGGGCGGTCGACCGACCCTGCAGACTCCCGGTTAAGTCCAGCACATTACACTAGTGGGGGGGTACTGGGGAGTCACCGGCATCCCCAAAGTTGCCCAGCCCCCAGGAAGCCGCTGCTTCTTAAAAAAAAAAAAAAATCAGTGCATCTTCGACCCCATTTCTTGAGAAAAATGGGGCGGAGGATCTCAGCCACTGATCTTCGCAGATCCGTGGGGGAAAAACACCTTCCATTTTTGATGATTTTTCTCAAGATGCAGGTCCAACAGGCCCGTTTTTCAATTTGACATCTTGTGGTCCAACGGACCAGATATCATTGGCAAGACCTGATGCTGTTATACCCTCAGCCACGAGGGAAACACTGTGCTGTTGGTGTGGCTCTGCTGAGATTATATGCTTCTGCATGTCCCTACTCTCTGGGGGAAAAGTTATGGGTTTCGGAATCGTGAAGTCAGAGCTGTCCGAGGTTGGACCTAAGCTATATTCTTCTGTCAATTGACCTCGCTCCACTACATGTATCTGTACAGACTGACAGGCAAGATACTTCCGGACTGATGACCTACTTATGTAGAAAAAAACAAACACAAAACGCTCGGCCTGCACGAGCTGAAACATGAATCCATAACTTTTCTGCTGTTGAGATATACTCTGGAAGAGCTATAAGTTTTGGCAATGACCTCCTCACATCATATCTCGTTCAGCTCGTGGGGTATCAGTATCAGATGGCCCAGTCCATGATACTCGATGACGCTGAATTGAAGTCCTTGGGCCATGGGGAGGTCAGGTAACTAAGCTTGCTTACTCAACCCCTTCCCCTGAAGCCATAGGGCCAGGGGTTCCTGATTGGAACCAGATTGCAAGTATGGGAGATACAGAGCATGATTGGAATGGACTTGTATTGCACCCACCGCCCAATACAGAGTCCTCTGTAGCTGCTTGCTGTTAGGCTGAACAAGGCAACCCAGCGCCGCTGTGTCTGGCAATGCACCGGGAAACCATTGCTGTTTTACCTTTAAGGCTTTGAACCACAAGTTTGGTGGACCCTAACTTGTCAAACTGAAATTTTGGGCCTACCAAGCCTGACGGATCGGTTTTGAGGCTGGCACGTAAATGTGTGAAAACCAGTACTGGTACCAATTTATGTGATGGATTCGGCCATTTTATCGAAGTACTCGCCACTGCTAGCCCAGGCCTTTCCTTTGCCTGAGTGTCTACAGCCATGAGTTTCAGCTGGCTGGGGGCATGCACTGGTGGAATGCTATAGATCACCTGTGTCTTTTGCAAAAGAGAGTGGCTTGGGGGTTGCCTGGTGTTGCTGAAAGAGCCTCCAGATCCAAACATGGGCACACATGTAGAGACCAACCCTGGAGTAACTGTGTGGTATATTATGTAAGTGAGTAAGCAAGCTCGCACAGTGGATTAGGCTTACCGAAGGCATGTATCACAAATACAGAGAGATAACTACTCGCCGTCTTGCTCCACCCATTGAAAACTGTGCCGCATGTTTATCAATGCCATTATGTTATCGTCGTCTTTTGGGGCCTCTGCTAGAATTAGAGTGATGAAGACAAAATTACTGAGGCCCCTGTGTGAGGATGTCACACACAAATCGAGAAATCCACACGCAGTCAATCTTTTTAAGTACACTGCCGTTCATTTTTGCCTATCAGGGAGTGCCATCATATCCCACAATTTGTTCCTCCTCTTTGCACAGTGTGGTATTCAATCACAGATTTCTGACCTACCCTTCTCCCTTACAGGGTTTTTGTGGAATACTCCTTCAAAACTGCAAGATCTCAAATTAGTCCGTCTGATTCTTTTCATCTCCAGAGACACAAAGCCTCAGTGAGAAAGAACCTTGTCCATCCTCCTATGAGGTCGCTGGACGTGTCACTGGACGACGGTGCCCATCCCCTTGTGAACGAACGCAAGTCCTGATCCTTCTTCTATTTTAAGGGCTTAGCGGCCCCGGCCCCTAAACATTTTTAGTCATTTATTACGTCCAACACAATTGGAGTTCGTGACCTGTTCGTCAATGTGTGTAACATTTTCAGCTTCCAGCCAGGTACTGTATATCCTTATTCTGCTATCTTGTTGGGATCTGGGAATTTCACTTCATGGGTACAGCATGGACAAGATGAGAGGAGTGTACCAGGCAACACAATTGCGGTGCAGGCTGATATGCCTTTCAATGGACTGACAAAGTTTGGCGGCTCGTTCTTGTCGAAATTTGAGTGTTCACAACTGACACATCCGGTGAGTTGTCAAACCCCCTTGGCCCTTTTTCTTGGGCTTCTCCCTCTCCGTGCCTAGTTTCCCTTCCAATCTCTCCCTTTTTCTTATTCATTCATTTGTTTACTTGTTATTTATTTATAGATTATATACTTATTTCTATGTTTTAGTGCAGCCTCTCCTGCCAAACACTGTAGAACTTTTTCTGAGGGTGTGCATTTGAATGTGACTTGAGCACTCGACATGATCATCATTGTTTGATGATTGTGAATATGGCAACATTCACTGTAAAGCTGGTATGTCTGTGTCTACTATACGAAGTATCGAGGGCGAGAATCATCGAGCCGTTCAGCCAGTTTGGTTTGCCTTGGTGGGAGAAAAGCAGCAGATGCAAGTGTATAAAAAACTGTTATCAAGCTGGTAATGCATGTTGACTCTGCCGATACTATACAAAGTATCGGTGGAGACTGGCAGCCGCTTGTGCATTAATGCACTAAACTGCACGCATGTGCATAGCCCTGGCCTCCTGGAATGCACCGGTAGGTGACATCCCTTGTAGTTGGACATTTCAACTTTAGTTGTAGCACTGGCTCTCCAGTGTGACATCAACAAAGAAAAAGAAAGAAACAGCAAGCTTGCATGACACAGAAAGTGGTTTGGTTGATGGCTTTGTGGCCGGCTGGATGTCATACTGCACAGCTTTTTGAACATGTGACACTCACTGCGGTCTGCAGAGTGTGACTCTGCTGCATCAGTCCGGTTATGTTTGCACATTCAAGTCAACAGAACAGAACAATATCCATTCTCATGCTCCATTCTGTTATGGACAAGAAACCACTGGCAGGCGGTGGCAGCACTGATTGCTCCACCGATGCCTGTACTTCAGACCATCAGTTCTACCCTTCCATGGACGCATGGCCATCAAGATATCCTGCACTTCTTTTGTCATTCTTGTCATTGTCCAATAAGGGTGTGCAGCAGATTCACACACCACTCTTTGTTGATCTTGGCTGCTGTATCATTTCCTCTCTGCGTGTGTATAATGGATTGTCAGAAAGGTTGCTAGCTTTGTGTGGAGTCTGTGGGGATCAATCAATAGAATAAAAATCCAAAAAGAAACAGCGAGCTTGGATGGCACATAAGTGGTTTGGTTTGTGGCTGTAGTGTGGCTGACTTGATGTCATACCACAGTTGTTGGAACATGTGACTTTCGTGGACACGCCAGGTGTCTTGTCAGGAGAGAAACAGCGGACGCAGCGAAGCTACGATTTCACAGGCGTTATCCAGTGGTTTGCATCAAAGTGTGACCTTGTTCTTCTTCTGTTCGACCCGCACAAGCTCGACATTTCAGACGAGTTCAAACGAGTCATTATGGCTCTCAAGGGACATGATGACAAGATCAGAGTTGTCCTCAACAAGGCACATCAGGTCGACACTCAGCAGGTATGCCAACTCCCAAGAATGGCCCAGAAGGTTGTCCAGGTCTCCCCCCATTCCAACCTCTGTTTCCCTGTTTCCAACCCATTCAACCTCCCCAGCACCTTGCCCCCATTCTCTCCAGTGTTACCCTGTGCAATGTTTTGTGTCACACTTTTGAGTCTATGCATTGGTGCCGGTTTCAAGGGAAGCTATTCGAGGTATCATTTTTTAATTAATACAGAGAATACATAGAGAATCATTGGCCACGAAGTGGCACCGGCGAGTAAGAGGAGCGAAGGCCCACCACGCCGGTGGTATGACCACCCACGCATCCCCGGAGGTGGGTTTTGGGGTAGAATTGACCCTGCTCGCTCCTTTAAGTGTGTGTTAATTTTCCTGTGGTTGAGAAGTTGAAAAACATTGATTAACTGTACACCTGCCAGGCTACCAGTGTGGCCTGGGACCACCTGCCCGGATTGCCCTTTCGGAGCCACAGGGGTTGGCCGCGGGGTGCTCCGAAGCGAGGGGGGCAGTATAATTTTTTTGGGAGGCCGGTAGGGCCTCCAAACTGGAAAACGATAATGGCCCAATCTGGGCAGTCAGATCAGCGAGATCGACGGCCCAGATTGGGCCATTTTCAAATTCGAATTCCAGCGGGGCCACGGCCCTCCCCCGTGCGCAACTTCGCCCCACCCGTCGACAGAGTTTGGCGTTGCCATTGCCGAAATTCGAGGCCGCTGCCAGCAACCCACGCGGCATTGCCCGGCCGTGGCAGGTGAGTATCCGTCCCTCCCTCTTCCTACTCCTCATCTCCTTCCTCGTCCTCCTCTTACTCCTCGCCCTCCTTTTCTTCCATGTCCTCCTCTTCCTTCTCCTCCTGCTCCTCCTCCTCCTCTTCCTCCTCCTCCTCCTCCTCCTCTTCCTCCTCCTCTTCCTCCTCTTCCTCCTTGTCCTTTTCTTCCTCTTCGTCCTCCTCCTCCTCCTTGTCCTTTTCTTCCTCTTCCTCCTCCCTCTCCTTTTTTTCCTCCTCCTTTTTTTCCTCCTCCTCCTTTTCTTGCTCCTCCTCCTCCTCCTTGTCCACCTCCTCCTCCTCGTATTCTTCTTTTTCCTCGTCCTCCTCCTCCACCACTTCCTCCGTTTCCTGGTCCATCTCCGAGGCCCCCTTGTCGTCGTCCTCCTCCTCCACCACCTCCTCCTCTTCTTCTCCTTCTTCCTCTTCCTCCTCCGTCGCTGCGGTCCGCTCCTCCTCCTCCTCCCCATCCTCCTCTATCGCTGCGCCCCCCTTCTCCTCGTGCAGAGACTCCTCCTCCTCCTCCTCCTCCTCCTCCTCCTCCTCCTCGTCCTGCTCCTTCATCTCCGCGCCCCCCTTGTCGCCGTCCTCCACCTCCTCTTATTCATCCTCTTTGTCGTCCTCCATCGCCGCGATCCACTCCTATTCCTCCTCCTCCTCCTTCTTCTCTTCTTCATCTTCGTCGTCCTTCTCCACCGACGCAGCTGCCTTCTCCTCCTCCTTTTCTTCATCCTCCTTCTCCCCCTCGTCCGCCTCTTTGTCTTCTTCATCCTCCTCCTCCTCCTCTTCTTGTTCTTCCTCTTCGTCCTCTTCCTCCTCTGCCATCGATGTGGCTCCCTCCTCCTCTCCTCCTCCTTGACCTCATCATCGTCGTCATCCTCCTCCTCCATCACCACGCACCCATTGTCCTACTCGTTTTCCTCGCTGTCCTCCTCCTCCTCCTCCTTGTCCATTGTTGCGTCGCCGTACTACTACTCCTCTTCCTCCTCTTCCTTGTCTTCTCCTTCCTGCCCCTCCTCCTCGTCCTCCTCTTCTTTCTCTTCCTCGTCATTGTCCACGGCGTTCTCGCCTTTGTTGTCAACGGGGCCGTCTCCCTTCCCCTCACCTTTTTCTTATCAATCAATCAATGAAACATTGGATTCTTATGATTGATTCATTGATTGATAATAAAAAAAAAGGCAGGGGGAGGGGAGACGGCCACGTGGACCACAATGGCGAGAAGGCCATGAATGAGAAGGAGGAGGAAGAGGAGGCTGGCGACGCAGTGATGGATGAGGAGGGGGAGGGCGACGAGGAGAAGGAGGAAGAAGAAGAAGAGGTAGACGAGGGGGGGAGGGGGAGGCGGGCGGCGGCACAGCGATTGTCTAGGAGGAGGAGGACGACAAGAAGGAGGTGGAGGAGGAGGAAGAAGAAGAGGAGGAGGACGAGGAGGAGGATGAAGACGAAGAGGACAAGGAGGAGGAGAAGGAGAGGGAGCAGGAGGGTGTTGTGGCGATGTCCGGGCAAGGACCTCCATCTGCCCTTGCCCTTTTTTTTTTCAATCAATCAAGCAATCAATCAACAGACGAAACCAACAATTCTGTTGGATCTTTATTGATTTAAGATCCAATCGAATTGATATTGATTCAATTGGATCTTGAATCAATCAAGATCCAATGGAATTGTTGGATTTGTTTCGTCGATTGATTGATTGATTGATTAAAAACAAAAAGGCAAGGGGAGGGGAGACGGGCATGTGGACAACGATGGCGAGAAGGCCATGGACGAGGACGAAGAGGAGGAGGAAGAAGAAGAGGAGGAGAAGGACGAGGAGGAGAAGGCCGAGGACGACAACGACGACTCAAGGACGGACGTGGACGAGGACGGTGAACAGGACGAAGAGGAGGAAGAAGAAGACGAGGAGGAGGAAGAAGAGGAGGAAGATGAGGGGGGAGGGCGACGACACAGCGATGGACACGGAGAAGGAGGGTGACGAGTGGGGAGGTTGGCTGTAGGGCCCCGTGCTGCATCACCACCAGCTGCATCTGCAGCAGCGGGCCCTCCACCACCCCCTCCCACCCCTACATTCCGATTTTTTTTCCAGCTCGTAATTGCCCAAATTTATTATGGGGGGTCCCCTGCTGGTGCGCAGCACCACCCCACGTGGTTTTTTTTTTTTGCTTCACAGTTTTGCTACAAAACAGTTGTCCAGGATCCCGCACGACTCCGCTACTGGACATCTGACAGAGACGTCCGGCCGGGACGTCCGGTTATCAGACAGCTGGCAGCATAGGCATGAAATAACATTGTTTTTCAACTTTTTTTGGTGATCTTTTCATTTTATTTGTTTTATTTTTAGCAGGGCCCTTGCCCGGCCCTTGCCTGGCTGGGCCATCTGGGCGGCCTGGTTTTGCACTAAGTTATGCCTTAAAAAGAAATTATTCAGCTCTTCCAACAGACAAGCTGTTGAGCTGCAGCTTCTTCATGGGAGTGTATTCTCTTTTCCTTAAGTTGATGATGGCCCTCTTGAATCTGTGTTGCACCGTTGATCCATATTTTGTTCCGACGTTTCCCGTTGTCGTGTTTTGTGCTATGTGGTGGAACAGCTGATGAGGGTATATGGAGCGCTGATGTGGTCTCTTGGCAAGGTGTTGAATACCCCTGAAGTGGTTCGTGTATATATTGGGTAAGCAGTGACCTTCCTTGCGTCCACGGAGGTGATTTCAGATACGTGCCTGTTCCGATTGAAAGCATTTCACTACTGCGGCCTTGTTCCTAGTCCCAAGTCCCAGTCCCAAGTACTTGTCCTGAGTCTCAATCGCAAGTCCCAAGTCCAGTCCTGAGTCTCAGTCCTTGTTCAGTTGATGGCCGTAGCCGCATGTACAACATTCACAACTCTTTGGGTGGGATAGCCCAGTCGCGTGTACAATAGTATGAATACTAGGCATTCCTAGCAAGAGTGGCTTTTGTATGTACAGTGACTGCAGATGCCTAGGCGGGATAGCTTTAAGTAAGTTGTAGTGGGAAAGTCCTCCTTGATCGATAACAGTTATGGGTTGGAGCACCAGTAAGCTCAAGCAGAGATAGCAGAAACCGTTAGGCCAAGTGTCAGTTGGTCCATTCATGCAGCTGAGTGCAAGGGAAGACCGCAAACTTCTGGAAGCAACAGACAAAGGCAAAGGGACCAACCAACAGAAGGAATCTGGAAGGCGAGTCAGCAAGTATAAAAGACTCACCTGAGGAAGCTTCCAACACCTATTCACTGGGGAGTCCATGCCGAAGTGCTGCTGTGCTATTTGGAGATACTCTGGAGTGCTGCTTGGAGATATTGCAACCTGTGCCATTTTCTGATTCTGGCTGACAGCAGTAGTCAACGGCGCTGTGCACCCATACGAAGTAGCCATAGCCAGATCAAGTGCAGTGGAAGTGTGGGAGAGAGATGAGAGAGGTATTCAGAGAGGAGACAGAGCGAGAGAGGGCAAAGCTGAGGGAGAGCGGCCATACCTGAAGAGCTGTTTGGCGCCCATAGCCACACTTTCTGGCACTTAGTCGTCTTGTGTACTTGAGTTGATTGGCGAAGACTATTCTCAGCTTCCATCTCATGTGTGCATTGTCTATGTGAGTGTCATGGTGCGAGCTTGGTGAGGAGTGCTGTGCATGGATGGTTGGTCTCAGAGCAGGATTCTTATTCTCCTCTTTCAGTTATTAGCATGGTGACTGCGGACCCGGACACCGGACACTTACGGACTGTCTTCCGGACAAGTGTCTATACCGGTCCGGACTGTCCGGTGATCCGGACATCGCCCGACACCCGGAGACCACCGGACCCGGACAGTCCGGACCGGTGTCAGGGGTTCGACATGTCCGGACCAAAAAAAAAAAAGGAGGGGGGGGTGGTGTTTGTGGGTAGGGGTGGGGGGTGGGGTGTTGGCAGGCACTCCACCTGCTTTGCACTTCATAGTTCATGAAGCAGAGCACCTGTCTTGCAGCAAATCAACAAGCACATTCAACTACCAGACATGCAGAGTTGCGAACAGTGCAAAGCAGGCACAAGACTAAAGAAACAGAGGGGAAAAAATCAAAAAGAGTTAAAAAAAGTTTAATTAACTTTGAAGTTCTCTCTCTCTCTCTCTCTCTCTCTCTCTCTCTCTCTCTCTCTCTCTCTCTCTCTCTCTCTCTTTTGTCAGTGGGATGTCTTGCGCAGCTCAGAGAGGGGTTCTGATTCGGAGTTGCCCTCTTCCTCCGACGAACTGCCATCTATGTCGCTTTCGCTTTCATCCTCCTTGCCACTGTCGTCAGTCCCATTGCTGCCACCACTCCCGTCGTGACCATCGCCACTGCCATCAACACAAGAATCAATCATCCTGGGCAGCCCCCTTTTTTTTCTGATTTTTTCAATGGGCCCCTGTTTCCGGGCATTCAGGACCGGACACCGGACACGGACTGTCTGGAACCTGGTCCGGACATCCAGTCGGTTACCATTGAAACGGTTTCACCCAGTTAACCCGACATTTGCAGACACAGACATTCGATCCCTAGACCTGTGCCCTAACCCTGTACATTGAACCTGCGTGCTGAGTGAGATTCGCTCCCTAGACCTACCCTGTACCCTGTACATTGACCCTGTGTGCTCAGTGAGATTCGATCCCTAGACCTATCCTGTACCCTGTACATAGGTCCAGCGATCTGTGTAGGACTTGATCCCTAGGTCTGTAGGATAGAAGATGAGTCTGTTACCAGTAGGCCTAAAGAGTATGTTTTAGAAGTCTCTCCCTAAGTCTACTGTGGGCCTAGAGTCTGTCTGTACGGTAGACTCTAGAAGCTCGCAGGTCCCTGTAGGCAGTCAAGTCAGCAGGTACCTGGGTAAGGGCTGCACGTGGGAAAGGTTCTGGAGCACGTGTAGAGTCCCACGCGTTTTGGCCCAGAAGGCCCATGCGTAGCTTCCAGGCCCAGGTCCACGTGTTCTGGAGGGACCCAGGCCCACGCGTTTTGGGGCAGGGCCCAGCCACCTCCGAAGAAGTATAAATAAACAGGCAGCGTCCAGCCATTCATTCATTCATTCGCCTGTGAGTGCTGCCTTGGTATCTTGTGCGTGGAGGTCTGCAGGTTCCCAGAGACGAAGTGGGCAGTGAGGAAGACAGCGGCCATAGCTGGCCAGTGAGGTAGACAACGGCGGCCATAGCTAGGAGGAGGAAGACGACGGCGGCCATAGACCGCCCAGCTGCTGGTGCAGACAGAGTGTGCAGAGTGTGTGTGACTGTGTAGCGTGGACATTCAGGGTGATCCTCGTACGTGCGTGCATGCGAGAGTGAGGGAGAGTGAGGCTGGTGGTAGAGAAAGTGTTCGGCGGCCATAGCCGCAAGTTATACAGCTGATTCAGATTGAGTTTAATACAAGTTCATTGTTGTTTCTGAATTGGAAGAGTTCGGTTTTGCCATCGGTTCTTAAGTGTGCATGTTGTGAGCAAGTCTGATGTTGAGTCTGATTGCACCATGGTTATTAGAGCCCATTCTAAATCTTTAGAATTGTATTCAATTTTCTGTTCCGGCTTATGTCGCAAGGTCCACCCACCAACCCATTGCCTGAAACAATCGGTACCCTGCTGTCTTTACCCGAATAGAACGCCTGGTCGTTATTGCTGCATCCAGACTGAAATTTCCCCCAAATACAGGTATAATAACTGGCCATTCTATTGGGGAGAGGACGATAGTCGGCTACGCTGTGTGCACCTGCCAGGCAACCCGGTGCAGCAGATAGCTTCTGCGGACCTGTGATGGGCAGTCCCAGCAAGGGGGCAAAAATTTCTTAGAGTGCCCAACTTTGGCAATTCTGTGCTCTGTTTCGACCTTGTGAGCACCTCAGCAGCCAGCAGAGGGTCAGTAACTCCCCAAAGAAATGCCTACCTGTTGACAGGGACCTGGTAGGGATGCCTGGAACGTGGTAGGACTTTTTCAGTTACTCCCCAAAGAAACGCCTACCCGCTGAACAGCGACCCGAAGAGAGGCTGAGGCAGCAGGAGCGCTAAGTTAAACAGTGCTAGCAGGAGAGGGTAGCACCAAGCATCCAGCCAGAGCACCAGTCACAGCTGGGCTGAGCTGGGCTGAGCAAGAAGACAGGCGCCATGGCCATACGGTTGTGAGGTGAAGGAGGGAGGTGGCGGTAGAAGGGGAGATCCTTGGAAGAAGGGAAGACGGTGGAGTTGGCCTGGGTCTTACCTGGTGGTCACATTAGGTTTGGGAGGGAAGATTACTTTTTAATCGCTTGTAATTTTTGTGAAAACTCACCGGCCTTGTTTGTTTTTTTTCGAGCCTTCGAAATATTTTTTTTTTTGTTTTTGAGTAAGTTTTTTTGTTTGCCAAACATTTTCCAAGATTTGTCGACAAGTTTTAACGTAAAATTTCTGTTCTGCCGAACGAAGGCGAACTTAAAAACCACGAGTCCCTCGGAGGCACTCCTTCCCAACCCAGAGTGCTGCTGTTTGCCAAACCAGAAAGAACAGCCGCAGGCAGAAAATGTTTCCGTTTGGCGCCGCCAGACATCCAATCTGGTCAGCCGAGCACCTGTAAAGCGGCGCGTTAACCGTTGCGTCTGAACAAAGTAGCTGGGAAAAGATCTGGTGGTTTAGGCACTTGTGATGGTTGACTGAAGGATTGTCTCTAGGATCGTTCCTCACACCCAGGCCTCTTATGGTGGATGTGTGCTGTCCAGCCACCAGACAAGCGTCCATCTTGCTAGTTGGATCTGGCGTCCAATTTGCTTATGTTTTCTACCGTATTTTGTAGGACACTGGACAGTGTTTGATGCCATTATGCTATATATTTATGGTGCATGACACACAAACAAAAAGCTGTAATTTCTAGATCTGCTCAACTTTCTTTCCGTGGTTCGGTATCTCTTCGGTTATCGCTCTGCTTGACGTGCGTTTGATTCCAAGCTTCCATAACTGACGCTTGTGCTTTGTCTTTTATGGTCCTTTGCACACCACTGCGTTGTTCTCTGTCTTTTCTGTTCTGTGGCATTCCGAACACTCAGCTCGTTTCATGACAGGGAAATCACTCCAAAAGATGAGATGGGCAAGTTTCTCTTCGAGAAAGAGCAGAATGACTTGCTTGCAGATCTGAAAGATATTCCACGGAAGAGCTGTGACCGTAAGGTGAGTGTAATCGCTGCTTTTTTTCAGTTTTTTGAACTTTTCTGTGTTTAGTATGGCTGTGATTCTCCTCGCATAATTGCACTCATACCATGGAAGCACACATTAACTTCATGAAGTATATTCATCCTTTTTTTTTTTTGAAACGCCACAGAAGCGTCACTAGGGGGGATGATACGAGCAGCCTCCCCTGGTGCACATTCCGGGTGCTCCATTTTATTGGTGGGGAGCTGCACCTGCTGGAAAACGGGTCCAGTGTCCCATTAGATGAAACAACTGAGAAATATGTATTGTAAAGCTATGATCAGGTTTGCCTAAACTGCAGTCATCCTACCATAAACCAGCTTGTCTGCAAATTTAATAGCATTTTAATACTATTTTTTAATTGAGAATTTGACCTTGAGCTGAAGCATCTTCCATGCAGCAGTTTATATATATATGAGTCGGTGAAACTCCGACGAAACAGTTTGTCACAGCCCCTCGTTTGTTGTCCTCTTCTCTCTCTCTGCCTACGGTTTACCGGGCAGTTCTGTTTATATATATGAGTCGGTGAAACTCCGACAAAACAGTTTGTCACAGCCCCTCGTTTGTTGTCCTCTTCTCTCTCTCTGCCTACGGTTTACCGGGCAGTTCTATTTGTGACGATATATATATATATATATATATTGCACGCTCATCGGGAGACGCAGTTTCACATTTACACCAAGCTCCCTCTTTGACAATGCTGCTGATTGTGAACAGCAAACAAAAAGGACGATGGCAGGAATCCCGACCTGAGCCGTCGGGCCTAAAGTCCTGTCACCTCATGCACCCACCTCCTTTCTTTGGATTGAAAAGTTGACAAAAAAATAAAAAAATGAAAAAAAACAAA